ATTGGTTTTCGGATAAGTCTCTAACCCTGAATAGACAAAACTTTTTACAGGTTTTTCCTTGTTATACCATTTTTACAAGTGTGCATGTCAAACTAGCTCTCAATTCGCATATCTCAAACTAAACGCAGCTGGGTTTTTTTGCGCCCAGATGCAATGGAAAGGGCTACCCTCCGGAAAGCGAGGAAGGGAGATGGTGAATGCTCTAACCATACCACGACAGCCAGCTGTCGTGGTTATGTGGGACTCACTGCGTCTAACCTAACCTAAGTACCTACCCACTAAACACCACCTGTGAGACTGGCATTGGCTTTTGTAGCCTTTCTGCGGAATCGGAAGCGACCCTCTTTAGGGAAAAGGGGGCACAGGCACCGCTGATTTTTAATAACCGCTTATATATTAAGCAGTGGTAGAGCCACGCGGCAGCTTTTGCTGTCGCACGGATGGGCCGGCTCGAACCGGGGTAGTACCACGACCTCACAGAATACCAGCGTGAAGTAGAGGTTTACCTCTGCGTTTCGCTTGGTTAGTGCAGGTGGCCGGAGGCCCTTTTTACTGGAAATGAGGCATTCCATCTTAGTCCTCACGGATGACAACGCATCTACATTTTGAATTGTATTAGAGGATAGATGTAGATGTCTATAGGCCGCAGCAACCACTTACCATCAGGTGGACTGTGTGCTTATTTGTCACCCTTATCCTATAAAAAAAAAATATGTCGACGAAGAGCATCCCTCCCCTGGGCTACAACGGCTCAATTTTTCATAACAACTATACTAACAATTTAGGCAATTAACGCCCCAATCGTAATATAGCAATGAATAAAATATGAACTGTGAACTCCTTACGAATATATTCTAGTTAATAGAGTGAAACATAATTTGTAGTAAAACATTTATAAGAATTGTAAAACTGCGTTTACAGTAGAGTATTCGACGGCTCCGTAGAGCAGTGGTTAAGCATTTGGTCGCCGCATGCGGAGATGGGCTACAAACAAATTATTATTGCAGGTTTGAACGTGTTGATTTCCTTGTGCAATATAATATGTATGTAAATCCTGGATGAGAATATACTACTGTGGAGGTAACGTATATTTATAAAAAAAAAAAGATATGACTAAAATAAACTTGGAATCAATTATTAGAATAGAATTTTTTTATATGTTTTAGATCCTGGATAGTGGTAGATACTGCAGCTATATTATACGACTCGACTCGATATACGACTCGACTGAAGTAGAATTACGCTTTTAAAATACCAGCCTGGAACAACAAAATAATACTGCTTTGTTTCTTATGATGAGTGTAGAGAACCATCTTAGTCGTCATCTCAGACGTATTTTTATAAAAAAAAAAAGAAAGAAAAAGCTATTACTAAAATAAACTTGAAATCAATTATTAGAATAGTTTTTTTTTTTTTATGTGGTAGATCCACACTGTAACTATATTATGGCAGCAGCACGATATACGACTAGACTGGGGTAGGATTCCGCTTTCAAAATACCAGCCAGAAAATACGTGCGTGCGTATGTTCGAGTTTGGTAGATTAAAATATCCGATAATCCTTTTAAAACGTTTCTAAAAAAACCGTCCTTTACAATTTCTCAACACATTTCTATCTAACTCAAACATTGTGTAATTACGCTTTATTACGTTCCTTAAACGTAGTTAAGTAATTACTTTATAATCACTTAATTATTTTCTTGAAAGTGGATAAATTATTTTACTACCAGTTCTTTATGATTTGGTATTATTTAAAAGTTATTGTTACTCTATTTTCTATGGATCTAAACGTCACGTGGATTTAATTGAATAACAGGTAGAGTACAAACATCATTATTCTCATTTAAAATAATGAAACATCAAATTATTATTTATTATTAAATAAAAATTAAGAACACCTAATGGTAAGTGGCTACTGCAGGACCACCTACAGCTGCGGCTAACTTTAAACATAGAAGACAGCGAAGCTCTTCACAGCGGAATACAGCAGAGCAAGCACCGCTGTTTAACGGCAGGTAGGTAGGAATTTGATACCTACTTAGACGGTCTCCTGGGCAGATAAAGAGTCCTACAGTCTAGTTAAATCTATCAAAAAAATTAAAACCAAATTACCCCGCGACTTCGCCCGCGTTCTTTTTCTAAAGTTAAAGGAGCTTAAGTTACTCCTTATAATATTACCTATCTACCAGTAAAAGTCCCGTCAAAATCGGTCCAGCCGTTTCAGAGATTAGCCGGAACAAACAGACAGACAGACAGACAAAAATTTTAAAAGTTGTGTTTTTGTTATAAGTATCGTATATACTTTCATATCCATTTAGTAAAAAGCTGTTATTTTGACATTACAAACAGACACTTCAATTTTATTTATTTGTATAGATTAAATCTATTACTTGGCATTTATATAATATACATGGTAGAGCCATGCTGCAGCCATATTAGTAGTATAGTATAGTTGTAGCACGAATGGGTCGGCTCGAACGAGGAAGGACCACGCTCTCACAGAATACCAACGTCAAATAGCAGCTTAATGCTGCTGTGTTTCGTATGGTGAGTGTAGAGAACCGGAGACCCGTTTTATTGGAAAAGAAGCATTCCATCTTAGTCCTCACGGGTGACAACGCATCTGCATTTTTATTCGCAAACGAGGGTGGATATGGATGTCTATGGGCCACAGCAACCACTTACCATCAGGTGGACTGTGTGCTCGTTTGTCACCCTATCCTATAAAAAAAATGTGGAAACGTAAGAGAAACCTACGATATTTCCCCTCATGAGTGTCGTAAGAAGCTTCAATCAGCCACGCTGTTAAAGGCCTCGTGGCTTTCGTGGTATCCTCTCCTCTAGTCCTGTTCTGTGCATATGGCTAGTTTTTGTTGAGACTGGAAACCGTGATCAAAATTCGATCGGTTATTTTTACTGTTATTATATTGTAAGGCGTGATCCATTTCGAGGTTCCCTACCTTTTTAAAGAAAAAAAACACAGAAAATTCAAATTTAATGGAGAATGTTTATTATCATTTGAAAGAACATTCTTTGGCATTTATATTTTGAAGATTATGTTTATCAAATGTTGCCTGTTGCTACGTCGCAGATAGTCCATCCTATGAGTCCAATTTTCGATGACTCGTTCGAGCATTTCGACTGGTAACTGGCGAATGACACGCGTGATGTTATCCTCCAAGGCCTGAATCGAAGCGGGTTTGTCCGCATAAGCTTTAGTCTTTACATATCCCCACAGGAAAAAATCTAACGGTGTGATAACACACGATCTTGGTGGTCAATTGCACGGCCCAAAACGTGAAATTATGTGCTCACCGAAATGTTCTCTCAATAAATCCATTGATTGATGCGATGTGTGGGAAGTGGCGCCGTCTTGCAAAAACCAAATGGCGTCGAGATCACGAGCTTCAATTTCAGGCATCAAATAGTCGGTTATCATGGCACGATAACGGTCGCCATTGACGGTAACGTTCGCACCGGCATCATTTTAAAGAAATATGGACCGATGATTCCACCGGCCCACAAACCACACCAAACCGTTGTTTTTTCTGGATAAAGTGGCAGTTTTAAAACACTTCAGGTTGCTCTTCGTCACAAATGTGGCAATTTTGTTTGTTCATATACCCATTGAACCAGAAATGGGCCTCATCGCTAAACAAAATTTGCCTCGAAAACGTCGAATCTTCTTAGAACTTTTCAAGAGCCCATAGAGCGAAGCGATGTCGCTTGGGAAGGTCGAGCGGTTTCAGTTGTTGCACAAGCTGTATTTTGTACGCTTTCAATTTAAGGTCTCGACGTAAAATGTGCCAAGTCGTGCCATACGTCAGTCCGAGTTGCTGCGAACGGCGCCGAATCGACTCCACGGTCTTCGTGTACACTCTCAACTACGGCCACTATATTTTCTTCACAGCGTGCTGGACGTGGTCTATTCGGCCGAATATTATCCAATAATGAATGGTGGGTCTCAAAATGGGTGATGGTGTTGCGAATAGTACGCTCAGTAGGCCGATTATGTTGACCATATGTTGAGCGAAGTAGACGAAACACATTCCTCACAGAACGTGAATTTTCGTAATAAAGTTGAACGATTTGTAAACGTTGTTCAGGCGTTAGTCTTTCCATTATGAAATGCCAAACAATACTAAACAAAAATAGCATTACAGCATGACACGACTCACAAGTTATCCTTCAAAAAAAGGCTATTTAAAAAAGTATCTCTACTTGAATCACCCATTATATAGCTGTTCCCCGCGACTTCGCCCGCGTGTTATTTGGGGTTTTAATTTTTTTGCGCGGAATCCTAATTATTTTTCTAAAATAAAAGTAGCCTAAGTTACTCCTTGGAGACATCAGCTATCTGCCAGTGAAAATCCCGTCAAAATCGGTTCAGCGTTTCGGAGATTAGCCGGAACAAACAGACAGACAGACGGACAGACAGACAGACAGACAAAAACTTTAAAAATTATATTTTTGTTATTAGTACCGTATATACTTTCATAATATGCATTTAGTAAAAAGCTGTAATTTTGACATTACAAACAGACATTTCAATTTTATTTATTTGTATAGATTATACTATATTGTACTCAATTTAATTTTGTTGTGTATCTACTAAATTAATAAGTGTGATTGCTAATTTATCTGTGCTGGTTTATAAAAATTAAAAGTAAATTAATTATTCCATCACTTATAAGGTAGGCAGTTAGTGAGTGCGGTTGGAGTAGCGATATCGCAGACTATCTTAGTAAGATAACTAAGCCATTAGGCATATTACACAACATTTTTTTTATGTAATAAGGGTGTCAAACGAGCCCGTAGTCCACCGTATCGTAAGTGGACAGCGTGGACCATAAATTTATACTCGAATTACAATCAAAATTCAGAAGCGTTGTCATCCCTGTGTACTAAGATGGATTGATGGATGGTTTCCAGTAAAAAGGATCTCTTTTAGAAAACTTTTTTTCTAAACTTATTTTACTTTAAACTATTTTAAGGATGAAAATGCCAATAACCTTAGGTAAGTTTGGACTTGGTCACTGTGATCTGTCAACGATGCTGTGGAATGTAGCCGTAATGCTGAGACTCGTTGCACTCGACATTGATCCGAGGTTTAAAGAACGTATGTACCAATTTATTTCTTTAATAATTATCATCATAATGGCAGCGTAAGAAAATGTTTCACTTAAATTTGTTCCATGGACGGTTTTTTATTAGTGATCGATGCATAGACGTCGTAAGAGGCGACAATGAAAAATGCTGTATAGTACTCGTATATATAATAGAATAGAATATTTTATATTCAGAATAGATTACAAGATAGAAATGGTATTCCTTGGGGCAAGCCTACGTTCAGCAGTGGACTTGCGAAGGACTGTAATGATGATGTTGATAGATTACGTTCGTTAAAAACATCTATCCTTAGAAGAACCAGCAAAAAATCCAGCGGGACTATGTTTAAACATTAATTTAATATTATAAATTAACTTTTTTATTAATACAAAAAGTATTAAAAAAATAGTAGAGTATGGTAACCCTTATTAAACAATTTTTACTTAACAAAAATTCAAAACTTTTTGGTAGATAGGTCCTTCATATTTTCAGGGGCTTTGTTGTAAAAGTTGCAGTGTAACAACTGATAGTAAACAAACCTTCAGGAGCAGCGACTTGCAATTCACAAGTACTCTTACTACAGCTGTATGTGAGAGTGTGGACGGCTCCGTGCCGCAATAGCTTAGCGATGAATTACGCCGTTGAGAGCCGCCGGTTAGAATCCCGCACGGCACTAGTATTTGTATGGCCTACCAGTAATTTTTCCGGATCTGGATGTTTGTCCTTGTACAATTTATGTATGGAAACTGCCTCCAAGATACAGGAGAAAATCTTTTTTTTAAAGGTTACAATCCGGCGCAAGCCCGAGTAATAAATAAATATATAAATAGTAAATAAATAAATAATAATTTATTGACATTTTTTTACAGCTTGATTACCATACAGAATACGAAATGTGCAATCCGTGATCCGTGACTGACTCCTGTGCTAGAAGGAATGCTTACTTAGGGAGTCTAATGCTCTTCTTTTTCTCTTGCCTATATTGTACATAATATATTACTGTGCGGTCTTTTGTGTGTGTGTGTGTGTGTGTGTGTGTGTGTGTGTGTGTGTTTGTGTAATAAATAATTTTATACAATTTCAGCAATTGCGAAGCCGTCGTACTTTCTAACAACTGTTCTGGCGGCTTGCTACTTTTACGTTTACTTGATTTCCATGGTGTGGTTCGTATTTGTGAGGTGCCAGGAGACGGGAGACTTACTCTCTGCACTAATAGTGTTCTCACTAGGTTTGTCCAGTGAAATAGCAATAACCAAGTACGCATATGTCCTTCTACATAGGTTAGTACTACAGATTTATTACTAACATTACTATTATTCTACTACTAACTACTTCTAACTTTATTACTAACATTACTATACTACTAACTACCTAGTCAGGTCATAAGTATTGTCACACAGTAAAATCTTTTCTTTTAGAATGCTGGCCACAAAAAAGTTTATTGAATTCGAATTTCGAATTGTTCATGAAAATAAAACTGTATACTTTTTAGAATTTTACTCATTTTTAAATATGGAGTGGACGCTTAAAGAAGACCGTGTTGCAGTTATTGCGTTGCATCGTTGCGGTTACGCGCCAATTCAACTTTTTTACATACTGAAAAATTTGAATATATCCAAAAGATTCGTTTATCGTACCATCAAACGATACAATGAAGACTCTAATGTAGATGACAGGTCAAGAAGTGGTCGCCCTCGGTCTGTTAGGACTCCAGCAGTGATAAAAGCTGTGAAGGCGCGAATTCAAAGAAATCCCAAACGTAAGCAGAAACTGTTGGCCCTTCAGATGGGGTTAAGCAGAACCACGGTGAAAAGGGTGTTAAATGAAGACTTAGAGCTTCGGGCATATCGAAGAAAAACAGGACATCGTTTGAATGCTCGTCTAATGGACCTGAGACTGAAGAGATGCCGCGCTTTGTTGAAGCGGTACGCGGGAAAAAAATATCGGGAAATTCTTTTTTCGGATGAAAAAATTTTTACCTTAGAAGAGAGCTACAACAAACAAAATGATAAGGTGTACGCACACTGTAGTGAAGAAGCGAGCAACCGCATTCCGCGTGTCCAACGAGGTCATTTTCCATCCTCGCTCATGGTATGGTTGGGAGTTTCTTATTGGGGCTTAACACAGGTACATTTTTGTGAGAAAGGTGTAAAAACGAATGCAGTTGTGTATCAAAATACAGTCCTGACGAACCTTGTGGAACCTGTTTCTCATACCATGTTCAATAACAGGCACTGGGTATTCCAACAAGATTCGGCGCCAGCTCATAGAGCGTAGAGCACACAAGACTGACTGGCGGCGCGTGAAATCGACTTCATCCGGCACGAAGACTGGCCCTCCTCCAGTCCAGATTTGAATCCGTTAGATTACAAGATACACTTGGAGGAAAAGGCGTGCTCAAAGCCTCATCCTAATTTGGAGTCACTCAAGACATCCTTGATTAAGGCAGCCGCCGATATTGACATGGACCTCGTTCGTGCTGCGATAGACGACTGGCCGCCCCGATTGAAGGCCTGTATTCAAAACCACGGAGGCCATTTTGAATAAACTTTAGTGTCATAATCTATGTTTTGTTAAGTTCATTTTGGTATATAAATGGTTACATAATGAATAAACTTGTTTCAATTATTTTATATTAAATATGTGACAGAATTTATGACCTGACTAGGTACTTCTAACTTTATTACTAACATAACTATTATTCTGCTACTATAAAGGGTATCCAAAACTTAAATATAACCTGGCGGAATATAAAACAATAACTGCAATAATTGAACTAATAGGTCGGGAAAAATGTTAAATTCGTATTTTGTTTGTATAAAATTGAAGAAAAATCTATGTTGTTGTCGGGCCAAAATTAGTTATTTTGTTTTTCTGTCACAAAATTCTCAGTAGGAGCCCGGAGTCAGAGAGTTGGCGGTGATTCACCCCCCAGTCTTGGAAAGCACGTAAAGCTGTTGGTCCTGTGCCTAATCTGATGGGACGGTTATTCATTCGTGTCGGATAACCGTCCCATCGGACCATGAGAGTGAAGGAAAAGAGACTAAAATCCACTAAAATCCTGTCCTGCGCAGATGGCTAGCCTCTGAGCACTGGCCTTCTCTCATTTCTGAGAGACCTATAGAGTAACAAAAGAGAGAATATTATTGCTTTTCACTTTTTTTTAATAAAAAAAATACAAAATAATAAAGTCCGCCACGCCGCACCAGCGTATGTTCAAATGTCTTCACATGTCCTCGGAATATTTTACATACCGCCAAGGTCATGTACACTTCACAATTCACTATGAAAAATGACAGTGATTAAACTAGTCGTACGTCTATAATAATTATTTTCAATTCTACTTGGTGATAAGGTTCCTTTTCAGCCTAGGAATCCGTCTCGATAGGCACCACCCTCTCAAATTCAAATTCAAATTCTTTATTCCATAACCTAATCTATTACATCAAATTGTAGTTGGAGCTTCCTTTTAAGCAAAGGATTTGCTTGTACTAGGAAGCACCGCTCTTCCAAACAATGGGTATATACATTAAGTTGAGGTAAAGACTAATCGAAAGTTAGTTATTAAATTATAAAAATATAAAAAATAAATAAAATACAAACAATGAATTTAGGGTTACAAATATGGTGCTTGTGTGCGTACGTGTGTGTGTGTGTGTGTGTGTTTCTGCGTGCGTATATGTTATGTGGGTGCATGTATGGTCATGGTGCATGTATGAATAGAATATGTATCTTTGTGAATTATATATTATAGTGTGGAATATTACCCATATTGGTTTGTTGGTTTGTTAGCCCTACGACTGTGTCTTGGGATCGAAAGTTATCATCACCAGAGATTAAGAACTTATTTCTACCGCTAAATAACAACACTACTGTGTTTCAGTCAGCAGGGCTAGCATGAGCAGGAGACAATTTTATCCCCGGGGAAAGGAGAAAATGTTAATCGCCTCGCTTAGTTTTATCCACCCTTCGAGCATGGGCACACCGGTCGATGTAATATCCACGTAGTAGATAAAATTGGAGACAAACTTAGACTTGATAGATGTTTGTATGAATAGGTATAAACTTAAACCTACGTCCAATGAACTAGGATAAAATTGTCCCTTTCAAATGTCAAAAATTTTATCTTTCATTTGGCTTCATGCTACGGACGGGGGCTATATGTCTACTCGTTATGTCAAACGGGGATATACATAAGTACTTCTCCCCGTTGCCGTGCTTTGGCATAAGGACAAGATAATTTTGTCTCTTGTCAGTGAATATAATCGGGGGATAAGTTTTTTGTCCCCAGCCCATGCTTGCCGTGCTGAAGGGTATAGGAACCTGATATAATTACAGACTATCAAGCATTTCATTTTCGACCTCAGAGGGGACAACGAATCGATTGCCTTCTTTTTTTGAGTTTACTGCAAGTGTCCAAGGACTGTATTAGTCACTTACCACCAGAACTTTAAGTTCGTTTATCACTTTTCAATTAAAGTTGCAGTTGCAATTAAAAACTTAATATTGATACTAATAACTAAATTAAAAAAAAACTAAATTAACTAACTAAAACTTGATAATTAATAACTTAGCATTAAATAAAATTAAAGACAGCAGTGCTCCTCCCAAACTAATGTCGAACGCGGGACTCTTAACAGAAGGTAACTCAATATGTGAATTATTTAACTTATTTTTCTCCTCAATAGGCTCGGACTTGGCTAACAAAATTCCTAATATGTATCACATAAACACTGGTAACACCCTTATGTACGAACGTGACTATACACACGAAATTACACTAAGCGAACTCATACCTTGTACCACTAATGAAGTATCAAAAATAATCGATGATCTCGATACCAACACTAGTACTGGTCTAGATGGTATAAGCACCAAAGCGATTAAATGCCTAAAAAGCATAATTGTAGAAAGGTTAACGAATTGTATAAATGTGTGCTTAACACGCGGTGTTTTTCCCGACACGCTAAAGGTTGCTAAGGTCAGTCCTATCTTCAAATCCGGAAATAGGACTGACCCAAGTAACTATAGGCCAGTGTCTGTCTTGCCTGTCTTATCAAAAATATTTGAACGAGTCATGTATACTCGCCTAAACGATTACTTAATAAAAAAGAAATTTTTCATTGACCAACAATATGGCTTTCGATCGAAATCGAGCACTCTCACAGCTGCAGTAGACTTAATCACAAATATGAAAACTCGTATCGATCAAAGGAATTTTGCTTTGGGGATTTTTATTGACATAAAAAAAACATTTGACACAGTAAGCCATCATAAGCTACTGCAGAAACTAAACAACATAGGTGTTACAGGCAAGGCCCTCGAAATGTTCACATCATATCTACAAAATAGGCAACAAGCTGTTCAAATGGATAATTTTACTAGTTCGATTAAAAATGTATCGTACGGCTGTCCTCAAGGCTCAATTATCAGCCCATTACTTTTTTTTAATTTATATAAATAATTTAAACAAAATAGGGCTAACTGGACACCTTACCTTGTACGCGGATGACACATGTCTTTTCTATTTCGATAAATCTATTCACAACATTATAACTTATGCTCAAAAAGATCTTGACCTACTCGGAGAATCGTTAAAATATAACCTACTAACAATTAATACCTCAAAAACATCATTTATGATTTTTTCACAAAGAATAAACCTTTACCAGAGTTTGCACATCTTACTATTGATAATAAAATAATAAAACGTTCAAGTCAGGAAAAATATCTAGGCCTGTTGGTAGATGACAAACTCACTTGGAGACTGCATATTAATCATGTCAAATCAAAACTGATGTCATTATTAGGTGCATTACGTAAAGTCGCAAACTGTATTCCGAAAAAGGCACGTACAATTATATACAACTCTTTAGTTAAATCGCATATCGAATATTTAATTGAGATATGGGGATCAGCCGCTAAAACTAATCTAGACCCACTTCAAAGAACCCAAAATAAAATTATTAAAGCATTATATCACTACCATTATCTAACTCCAACAAAAGTACTATATGAAAAAACTAACTTACTAAATCTTACACAACTTTATACCTATTGCACTTGCAACCTAATAAAAAATATAACCACTAATTCTATTAAATCAAACCTACAGTTACATAAAAAAACAACAACACACAACTTAAGAAGTAAAAATAAACTCCAACTAATGACAGCACGAACTAATTATGGCAAAAAAACCCTATTGTTTGAGGGAGCACAGCTGTTCAATAAATTACCAGATGACATCAAAAACTGCAACAGCATGAAATTGTTTAAAAGTAAACTTAGGAAATACGTACGCACATTGTAATCTTTTTAACACATGGTACCTAATATGTATAAGTGCATAACCTAAGACTATACCGCTTCCAGCACTAGAGGTAGATGTGATAATATTATCAAATTATAATAATTACTTTGTATCTCATTATAAGTGAACCATTGTATGTTCTTATGAGAAATAAAATTCTTTAAACCGAACTTCATCATTGCTGGCAGGAATAGAAGCCCAGTTACTCACATACCGTGAATAGCTGGCGTTGACTTTTCAGGTTTTTGACCTTTCTTAAATAATTTTCCTTTGTTATTTTTTACTTATTACCAGCCAGTGCTTGACCACAATCCCACCCGGTAGTAAGTGGCGATGCAGCTTTAGATGGTAAATCACACTGTCTTAGCGTAACAAAAGCCTATTCACTCTTTCCTTGAAGACGCCCAGATTGTATTCGGACGGAAAGATAGACGCCGTCAAATTATTCCACTCCTTTGCTGTACGCATTATAAAAGACAAGCAAACCGTTTAGTTCTAATGCGTGGAATATCGACAACAAAGATGATGTAGACCCACCGATCGCCTGGTTGTCCGATGGTGGAAAGGAGAGGGAGGAACTAAAGCGTGCAATTCCTGCGCACACTCACCGAAATGCATCCTATAGAATACAGAGAGGCTGGCTACTCGGCGCCTCTGTTCGAGGCTGGCAAGATCGATTTCAACCAAATCAAGGTCACCAATGAGCCTCTTAGCACGTATCTCCACTCGGTCCAACGCTGCCTGTTGACATTTAGCAGCACCAACCCATATGTGACAGCAATACTCCATGCACGACCGGACTTGCGCTTTATATAATGTAATAAGCTGCCCAGCGTAAAGAACCAATGACACCAAGTTGATAAGTAGCCAGGTGATAAGTTGTACGCTGGAAGCTTGCCCAATAGGCTAGCGTGCTAAGCCCTGTTAAAGGCCTTTGAAATATCAAGGAAAACAACAAGTGCTTCACCACTATTCTCGAGGGCTTCGCCCCATATGTGTGTGGTAGGCAGAAGGTCTCCAGTTGATTGATTTCAGCGAAACCTGTACTGGCGGGCACTCAGAAGATCATTTTGCTTTAGGTATGCCATGAGGTGGGCATACAATACACGCTCCGATGTTAACGGCTTTTCAATAAAAATGCACCTTTGTTACTCGTATTAATACCGATAATGTTTATTTCAATTTCAGTGGTGAAGTGAGAAACATCGTAGAGAGCTATTTGGCTTGTGACAACCTCCCCGCGCTAAGCTCTAGATTTACTGCCAACTTGGCTCGCAATCTAAAACAAATAAAAAAGCGGGCACTTACATTCTGGTTTGTTATCTACGGTAATTGCGTTTTATACATACTGAAGCCAATACTGATGCCGGGACGTCACGTTATGGAGGATTTCTTTATTCTATATGGTATGATCATTATACAAGTATATAGTTTTCATTCGATAATTCGCCATAATATATATCTCGCGATACCATCCATACTGTAGTGTATAATAAATATGTATGTATGTGGGTATATGTATACTTGTATGTAACACCACAGAATAAACAACAATACTACGTAGTAACACGGCGAGAGAGAGGCGTAGAACAATCTCGAAATAAACGAGGTTGCAATAGGACGTTAAATTGTATCTTATTCATTCCCGAACATTACACATACCATCTGGATGACTGGCAATTCCTTGGACAACTTCCTTGTGAAATCAACTACGTCTTAAAGGCTTATTACATTACACGATTTATCAGGCCCTGTCCATCGTGTGCCCTGCCTACCAGACAGGGCGCTGCTTATTACACTACGCTAGAAATCGCTTCCTGCCTCAGTTGTTACTCGAACGTGGAAATAATTGCACGTCTAGCATTATGGCGCAGACTTTATCTATACGTCAAAAAATTGCTTTATTGTTTTTTTACGTGATAGAGCCATGCTACAGCTATATTAGTAGTATAGTTGTAGCACGAATGGGTCGGCTCGACCGGGGAAGGACCACGCTCTCACAGAATACCAGCGTAAAATAGCAGCTTAACACTGCTGTGTTTCGTATGGTGAGTGTAGAGAACCGGAGACCCTTTTTACTGAAAAAGAGGCATTCCATCTCAGTTCTCACGGGTGAGAACGCATCTGCATTTTGATTCGCATACGAGGATAAATGTAGGTGTCTATGGGCCACAGCAACCACTTACCATCGGGTGGACTGTGTGCTCGTTTGTCACCTTATCCTATAAAAAAAACTTTGGCTGGCGGTAACGTGCAAGGCCAAGCTAAAAATAGGAAGGAAAGTTAAATGTGGATGAAAAAATATTTGCTCCTCAGAAAAAACTATCGAATATGCAAATAGTCAGCGTTTTGGACCCAACAGACCTACGAAACTATTTTAAAGAGTAGGTGAAAACCAATTCGACGAGGTATTAAGCTTAGTAACGCCTTTAATAGAAAAAAAAAATACTTTAATGATTTCTTATATATACTTGTACGGATTCTATCGCGTTTAATTTTTTTTTTATTATTTCCAGACGTTTCGGATGCTTTACAGCAACCAGTCCCCTGTGACCATGGGTGGTAAAGCACCCGAAACGTCGGGAATTAATAAAAAAAAATCAAACGCGATAGAATCCGTAAAAGAAGTTTTATTCAAAAGAATACTTTTTTAAGAGAGATTGGTTGTCACTTTACGATTTTGGTCACTGGAAACTCCTATCAAGATTTGATAAGGCATTTCTTTGTAGATGTCGATGACATTGAGAAGGATCTTTTTCTTTAGCGCATGACATAAATACGAGTAATGATTTAGAGAGTAGATCGACACAGTAGAACTTTAAATAAACAAACGTGTAGACTGTGCTCATGCGGCCACGCAACTGAGCTCCCTGCCTCCCTGTCTCTTATTAAACTACACGATCCACAGCGCGGCAGGGAAGCAGGACGGTCGGAACCACTCGGTCGCCCTGTTTAGGGACCCTGACTCCCTGTTTCTTATTACACTACCCTGTCCCTGCGGGCAGGGCCCGAGAAATCGTGTAATGTAATAAGCCTTTTAGGGAACTTCAAGAAGAGAGCCTTTTCTTTTTTAAAGGTTCATAGACGGCGGTAGACGCTTACCATCATTCTATAAAAAAAAATCCGAGTGGGGATGTTTAAATGTAGCCGTTTAGTGGTGGTGTAAGAATATCCAGTACTCCATATCGCCCCGTGAGTATCGTAAATAAACCAGGAGATGGAAAGAACTAAAAATAAAAACCCGCCTGCCAAGCTTGCCAACTATGGCATTTTACTTGTAGATACTTCATAATGAAACCGTCTAAACTTATACAAATGAATAGGCTTATTATAATAGGAAATTTGGGAATATATTTTACAAATGCACTTTTATTTTTATCTTATGAAAAAAAATCGAACGGTTTAAGCTTCAAGCACACGACATCGCTCCGGCCAATACTAAGCCAGTGTCCTACAGAGAACAGTAATATGTATATATATTATAGAGTGCACGCCACAAAGTATATTAGTGCCCGCCAAAACATCTTTAAGGTTGGACGTGCAATGTTTTATGTGAAATTATCCCCATTTTAGTATTAATTCGCTCGACAATTGAGCGCTCTAAGTCCTTTTGTGATTTTTAAATCAAATTCCACAGTTTGGTAAAAGAATAATTACAAATGCGAATACATCAGCTTTGTCTTCCCCAATCTTTCTGTCCATCGTGACTAAAATGGCAAATATTTAAAAATTAATTTATATTTTTTCCGTAGGTTTGGATCCAATGTTTGAAGCTCCCAACTACCAAGTTGCCATGTTTACCCTCGCAGCGAGTTCACTCTTCATTGCACACTTGACGACGAATATAACCGCATTCCACATCATAATAACGGGTTACACAGAAGCCCAATTACTTGCACTGAGTGATGAGCTTATTTATTTGTGGGAAGATATTAAGAAAGAATATCAAGGTATACCAGGTGATGATGATAGAAATAAACACTATGTACTAAACGAATCAGTAAAGAAACGACTGAAAGAGATAATAAAACGACATATAATAAACATTGATCTTCATAACAAAGTGGATGATGTATTCCGTGGAGCGATCGCAGTAGAATTCTTGTTGTTAGTTTTGGCACTGGTAGCCGAATTACTCGGTGGTCTAAAGAATACTTATATGGAAGTGCCCTTTGCGCTATTGCTGGTAGCAACGGACTGTTGGACGGGACAAAGGGTCGTGGACGCGTGCGACGTTTTCGAGAACTCGGTCTACGATTCGAAATGGGAGAACTATGACAAATCAAATATGAAAACAATATATCTCGTGTACACAATGTCACAGAAAACATTGACTATGTCAGCAGGTAGGGTTGCCATGCTGAATCTCGCCTGTTTTATGTCAATTAACAAATATATTTACTCGACGTACACAACATTAGAATCGACAGTGCGATAAAATTGTAAACTTGAGAGGAATGTTAATAAAAATGACACAACGATGAAACTAAACTTTTAATCAATATCTGTAGAAGTTGCCTGGGAAACTAAAACAGGAGATGGGCAGCAGTATCTTGCGGTTAACAACTTAAAGTAAAAAAAACTGCAGTTTCCAAAACGCCTGCCAAACGTGTTCTATGTTCAGCAGTAAATGTTCTATGTTCAGCAGGATATATGACAGTAATGGATGGATGACAAGAAATGGCGCGCTGTAGTACTAGCTATTATCTAACTTACAATCATATAGACTGTGAGAGTGCTTATTACTGAAAATAAATATATTATAATAATTAAATTAAAAAGACTGCATTCATGAACATATTCAAGATCGTTCCCGCCATTACATTAGATTTAATAGTCCACAAATCCTCGCAAAAGAATACCAAAAAAAAATCTAATTTCAATAGAGAATATGGATAGGTGCTACCATCCTATAATTAATAAAATTAAATTCAAACTCAAGCATTTTAAATCATTGCAAAATTTTTAGACACCGTAAGCTGCTTCTGAGTTGATCGTACCAAAAATTAATATTCAAAAACTGAAGGTAGCTGGGATAACTATGACATCGAGACGTCAATCATCTCAATCCACCCCGTGACCATGGGTGCTGTAAAGCACCCGAAACCTTGGGAAATAAAAAGTTAAAAATTAAACGCGATAAAATCCGTAAAATCGGTTACATTTAATGTGTATTGTTCGCGTATGTAAATATGAGAAATCATTATAATTTTTTTGACAATATGATTCCGCGTATAATTTACGAAAAGAAGTTTTCCACTTTCTTAAAAGTACTTTTGTTTTCTCACACTGAACTTTAAGTGAAAAGTTACGTTCCACAGTAAGTTTACAGTTTCATTATTCTTTCTTCTTCTAGTTTATTAGTCGCTCCGAAATTCCGATTGAGAAAGTTCAAAAGAATTCTGAATAATAACGTTATACAAGGATAAAAACGAAGAATTCGACAAAAGTAGTTCGCCTACATTCATGGGTCGTAGCAGCTCTAAATAAATAAAACAACGATAGATCTTAGTGTATGGTAGACTTGAGTACGTCAAGTTTGCTTAAAGGTCTTTCCATCAAATGTTAATAAACATCTTGCTCGCGGCAGCGTGATATTGCCCGAATGCTGGTAGGCCTTTGGCGCTCTCTTCTCCCGTGCAAAAATAAAATTATGTGCCTATTTACAAACAAGGAGAAGAACTTAATATTATAGTATATGCTGAAAAGAACATTGTCTTCTTAAACTTAATTTATACGAAAATTTTAATTGATGTTCCGATTTCCTGGAAGCAGCTGAAAACCGATTTTGATTATTCTTCTATTCATCATCATCATCATCATTACAGCCCTTCACAAGTCCACTGCTGAACATAGGCCTCCCCCAAGGAATACCACAAAGTACGGTCCTGAGCCACCTGCATCCATCGACTTCCTGCATATCTTACCAGGTCGTCACTCCATCTAGTGGGGGGACACCCTACACTTCGTCCGCCGGTACGAGGCCGCCACTCGAGAACCTTTTTTCCCCATCGGTTATCGGTTCTTCGAGCTATATGGCCGGCCCATTGCCACTTCAGCTTACTAATCCGTTGGGCTATGTCGGTCACTCTACTGCGGATATCCTCATTTTGATGTTTATCACGCAAAGAAACTTCGAGCAGAGGCCTCTCCATAGCTCGCTGAGCGACCTTGAGCTTTCTCATCCGGCCAGCAGTGAAGGACCATGTTTCAGTTCCATAGGTCATCACTGGCAACACGCACTGGTTGTACAGTCTAGTTTGCAAGTTTTGAGGTATATCTGACGAGAAGATGTGCCGTAATTTCCCGAACGCTGCTCAACCGAGTTGAATCCGTCGATTGACCTCTCGCTTAGTGCTTCCAACAACTACCTGCATAGGTGTGACATAGACATTAAACATGATCTTTGTTTTGTCTATGTTCATCTTAAGACCTATCCGTTGGGACACACTATTGAGGTCATTGAGCATAGTGCTTGGTCCGTCAGCGATTCTGTCATAAGGACTATATCGTCGGCAAATCAAAGGTGAGTGATGTACTCGCCATTGATGTTAATGCCGTATCCTTTCCAGTCCAAAAGCTTGAAAACGTCTTCGTAAACGTGAAGAGTTTCAGGGATATAACGTCACCCTGTCTTACACCTCTCTGCAATTGGATAGGTTTCGTACTCTGGTTCTGTACTCGGGTAGCCATCGTAGGCCTATTGTACAAGCACTTCATCACTTCGATATACCGACAGTCAACTTGGCACCGCTGAAGGGACTGCAGCACCGCCCGAATTTCGACGGAATCAAAGGCTTTCTCATAGTCCATATATGTCAGACATAGTGGCAAATTGTACTCCTCGGACTTCTGTACAATTTGCCGAAGGGTATGTATGTGGTCTATGGTGCTAAAGCCTTTTCGGAAATCAGCTTGTTCAGGAGGCTGGAAGTCGTCAAGTCTGCGCGCGTGATGATACTGACTCTCGAAATGGTAAGAAATGGAATTCGGTAATGACTCTCGAAAACAGCACATAGATGTGGCTCAGAAGGGAAATCGGTCTGTAGTTCTTCAAGAGAGCGTTTTCACCTTTCTTGAAGAACAATACTACCACACTTCTGCTCCACGCCTCCTGTAATGCCACAATGAAGGACGTAATGCCACAATGGAGGACGGATTTAAAGAGCTTCTGAAGGACTTTAAGTACCGGTTTTCCACCCGCTTTCAGAAGCTCCGCTGTAATTCCATCCTCGCCTGGGGCCTTGCCGTTTTTAAGGTGCTGGAGAGCCATTCTAATCTCGCTCAGACTGACGTCCGGGATATCATCGGAATAGTGTCAATAAAACTCGCTCTTGGATCGTTACTCACACTTGCATGTGGCTCCAACTATGATGTGTACAGCTGCCCATAGAACCTCTCAATCTCACTCAAAATCTTAGGTGACCCGGAAACGACGCTGCCACACTCGGTCTTCAGCTTCGATAGTTGGCTCTTTCTGGCAGACAGACCTCTAGCAAAGACTTTGGAGCCCGTGGTTTCGCTCGATCGCTTCTTCAATTCGAGCAGTATTAAAGTTGCGTAAGTCCCATCGCATGCATTTGGAGATCTGTCTGTTCAGTGGCTTGTAGGCTGTCAAATCTACTGAAGACTGCAGCTTCATATCCAGTCTAACAGCAATGAGATTAAGAGTGTGATCGGAGAGTTTTTGTGTTCTTCTGCGGCGGGTCTTGCAAAACTTAGCTCCGGCCGCATGGACAGTTTCCACGAGCTTGTCATTCATATCGTCCACTGCATTGCAATCTTGTAGGCACTGTAAACGGTTTTGTAGCTCGAGCTGAAAGGTTTCGGGACTTTGGATTAGGCACGAGGGGGACGGAGCGTTGACTTCATTAGACGTGACCTCTCCAACTTAACGTTTAGGTTCAGTGTGCCTCTCACCGTTCGGTGATCGCTGCCGGTTTTCACCCTCGCGATCACTGAGCCATCACTGAACAGTTTTCGTCTGGTCGACATAATGAAGTCAATCCAGTTCTGTGAGGCCGCTTCTGGAAAAAAGAGTTCATCATAAAGAGTCCCTTGAAGTTCCTTTCTCCATGAAGTCGGCCAGCTGCTTGCCCCTTGGGTTCCGTTGCCCTATTCCGAATTTCCCTACTTTCAGCTCACCGTTCTCTCTTGTGCCTAGTTTTGCGTTGAAGTCTCCCTTTTACACCGTATAGTGAGTTTTGGAGGAATGCATGGCTAGATATCGGAGGATATCTCCTCATACATTTCCTCCTCCTCCTCATCGGTTGGTGCGTAAACCTGTATGACCTTCAGCGATTACCGTTGAGTGATTCTGAGCATAAGATACGCAATCCTCGTCGACACACTTCCAATCTTTACAATGTTGTTAACGAGAGACTTGTGGACGATAAATCCGACACCTCCTTGGGCCAGATGGTCGCCCTCCCGATGATAGAACAAGTTGCCGGATTCGAGGATTACCGTGTCCTCCCCCTCTCTTGAATAATCCTATGATATTCCAGCACAACTTGTCTATCTCTTCTTCCAGCTCCAAGATCTGTTCGTCAGTCCTCAGGGTACGTGCGTTATAAGTTGCCAGGTCGAGCCGTGGTAGGTGGCAACCGAACCTCCACGGGAGATTCTTAACACCCCCTACCCCGCCGTTACCATGGTCACCACCGTAGCCAGGAATAGCGGGGCCGCCGGGGACAAGGGGCCGTTTATTAGTGCCATTGCTCATGGGGGGTATATTGCCATAGTTGCCACGCTTAGCGACCTCTAAGACTGGGACATGTAGGGGATGAACTTTTTAATGTATAGTCTGTTCACTTAGATACGGTCGCCTTTGTGTCGAGCCGCCTTGGCACGTAATTTTGTATTTTATCACAATAACCATAACAATAAAATACTATTATATTCTATTCATAGGATAGAAACACATTTATTTAAACAAACACAATAAAAAATAATAAACTAAAAGCAAAATAATAACTCCTAACCTCCGGGCGTACCGACACTATCTTAGTGAACAGACTATAACCATTTAGGCGACATTTTATTTATTAAATTGAACTTATAGTATACTATACTACCTACTTATTCCACTCAAAAGTGTAAAATAATTAAACTTTGAAATAAGTTAAACCGATATCAAAAACAAAATAGAATAACAAACTGTGATACATTTTTAGCTTAAACTGTATTTATAAAGTACAATTATTAAAAACACAAACCATTTACCGTCACAATACAATTGCTAAAAAATAAGACCGTTGTGAATTCAGGTTTAATAAATCATTTACATATAAGCCAACATTTGGATCCTACAAAACTTCTGTAAATCGAGTCTCGTTGCACCTTTACTCCCGTTTAATTAAATCTTTAGATTGATATTGTAATTCTTGTACTGAAACTTTTTGATTCTCTGTATTTATTGGAAGTAAAGACTAGAAA